CCCCCACCAAATCTTCCTACCCCCCCTTCTTCTTCTAACCTCTACCTTGCTGGGATCCCTTCTCTGTTGTGTTCCCTTTTTCTCTTGTTTGTTATCATTATATTTACTTTGCATCATATTTTTCTCTTTCTCAAATGTTTTTTTAGATCTTAAGTCCTTCATTTTCCTTGCTCTCTTCCTTCCTTCTTCCTTAGATAAGTTTTGGGATTCAATGAAGATGGCGTCTTCGTCTCTTCCTTGTTGTTCTTCTTCCGTTTCCATCTGTTCCATTGTCTGTTGATAATTGACCAGCGCCATTTCTAGAAATAGAAAAGCTTTTTCCATGCCATCTTTGCAGGCTGCTTTTGTTTGCTCATATTCATCCCTCAGGTCTTCAAAAAGGAAAGCCATTATAAATAAATCTTTTCTTTTCTTTATTCCTCTTTCTTCTTACACCAACCAAATATTCCGAGAGAAAGGCAAAACAATCCCAAAATCCACAATCCTCAATAAATCCAAGCAAGCCAAAATTCCCCCTTCCTCTTCCAGGGGTGGTATCAAACAAATAAAAAAAAAGAATCCAAGTCTATATTTTAAAGCCTTATTAAGATTGTATTTCTGTCCTCAAGTCTTCAAGGCATCTCCTCCAACAAGATCCAAATTAATATATTTTCTTTATCCTCTCCCTTCCGGCTTAATTCCGTCGGGAGGGAGAGTAAACTTTCCCTTCAGCACCTCAAAATAGCCGCTTTTTTTTCTCTTGTGGAAGAAATCATCAGAAAACCATCTTTTCCAGGAATTAAATTAGATAAATCTCAAAGCCCTGGGTCGACCAAGAAGAACTTTTACTTTCAATAACTTTCTCTTCTTCCTCCTGCGCATACTTGCCCGGCTGTCAACTTCTTTGTGGCGGCCATTACGGACCGCCGCTGCACCGTCCTGGTAACAGGGGGTTCTGCCGGCCAGGGAGGGGGTCTGCAACACCCCCAAACCCTTCCTCCGGATCCCCCTTACCTTCAGCTACCCCTGCAGGGCAGCCTTGCTCCGCACCCGTCCGGGTCGGAGCCCCAAAACGGCTAGCGCGGCAGGGATCGCGCAGCTTCGCGAATCCCTACCGCTCGCGAAGCCGACAAACCGGAAACCCCCTTGTTTTGTAGGATTATTGTCAGTGGAATTAATGCGATGTTGAACAGTAGTGGTGAAAGTGAATCCCGTTGGAAGATTCCTCTTCTGATGTTGACTTCACCAATGTTCTCCCCATTTGCTGTTAGAATTGTTTTCCATTTTTGCATGTTTGCTTTCAAAAATGTACAATTTTTTTTGCTGATTTTCCAAAGTTTTCCAGACAGACGCTAATCCAGCTGTGCGGTAGTGAATCAAATGCCTTCTTGTAATCGATCCATTCAAATTCAGTTCTCTTCGTCTTGCATTTTTAGTACCATTTTGTCAATGAGCAGCTGATCTTTTGTTCCTCTCAATTTTTTATAATTTTCTTTTTGTTCTATCGGATACAAGCTGTTTTCTATCAGATCACTGAATATTGAATTTGCCAGTATTCTTGAAAAAAGTTTGAATGTTGTTGGCAGACAAGTAATTGGGCGATAGCTGCTTGGTTCTGTGCCCTTTTCTGAATCTTTCATTATCAAGTATGTTCGGCCAGCTGTTAACCATTCTTCACTTGTTGCATTTTGAAGCATTTCATCAAATTGAGTGGCCATATGATGATGGAGGCTGGTCAGGTGTCCAGTATCCATGCAGTTTGTCCAAGCCTGGTGCACTCCAGTTCTTGACCTCCTTTGCTTGTTATGCAACCATGTCAGTTGTTATTACCATATTTTCCATTTTGTTTCGTGTTGCTTGTTATTGAATATATTTGATCCAGGAGGCAGTTTTGTTGTATTCCACCGGGTTTTCCCACAGTTCTTTCCAAAAGTTCAAAGTTTTTTCTTTACATGGGCGAACATTAGTTTGGACTTGATTTTCATCAAGGGACCGGTAGAAGAGGTGTTAGTTTCTTCTGAACTGGACATTTTCACGATATTGTTTTATTGATCCTTCATATCTTTCAATTTTCTTTTC